GTCAGTGTGTCTGCAGCAGGGCTGTCCAGTCCTGGTCCTGGTGTGCTAGGCAGTGTGTCTGTAGAGCTGTCCCGTCCTCTGAGTATAGTTCTATTCAGGACAGACCGCTCCAGGACCAGGACTGGACTACAGTATTGTATTATTTAACTAACCCTATGATATCGCTAACAGTCTCTACTTCAGACATCTTGATGAGATGTTATTAACACCATTCCCACTTTCTTAAAGTGGGCAAATGCCATCTGAAAGATGCAGTTGAATCATTCACAATTCTCTCGGACTGCAGTCCCACCCTCGCCCGCTTCACTGCGACTGAATGATCAGGAGGCTTAGAGCAAGGATGTACCTGAATCCAGCGGCCATTCCTCTTGATGACGAAGGGACCTCCGGAATCTCCTGCAACAGAGGTCAGAGGTCAGAGTTCAGGGGGCAGTCCACCAGCCTACCAGCCCACACACGGTCGGAGACTCCGGGTCTTGTCTGTATAAGTCACGAGCACATTGACTGTAAATAGCCACATGGCCTCCGTCTGAAACCTGCTGTGTGTCAGCTGGGATTCAGGCCTGCAGTTTAACGGCTTGTGTGAGCGGTGAGCCTCAGGCAGTGCAGTGTCTCCTCTCGCCTGGCCCCAGAGGCTCCGATTCTGACACACAGCTCCGATCAGAGAGCAGCCCAGTCGACTCGCGTGTGTTTGGCCACTAGTAGAGCTCCGGTCTACGGATGTCTTCCCTGCCTTTTCTTCAGGATCACGGGAAAATGGCTTCTGTAACACTGTTGCCCACCTTGATCCGGACACTCGGCTCCCCTTTGTTACACCTGGGCTGGGAGTGTCTCGGGTGTTGGGGGTTGCTCCTAACAGCCAGGACATTCACACGGAGACTCAGTCTGCATCTAACCCCGTGTAGACTCACTTGGGACACACCTCCCAGACCCTGTTACTAAATCAACCAGGCGCACCCTCATCACGCAATGGAGCTCCTTCTTGAAGATCTCCCCTGAGATTCAGTGCTCTGACATTGAGTTAACGCTCGGTTTCTCTTCCTTGAAGTGAAGCACTACATTTCTTTCATTGCTGCAAGGGCCCTGGCCAGGCAGGGAACTCCACACAGCCTTCCCTTTGAGCCGCACATCAACCTCACGTCCCCCAGATTCCTGCGAGTCCCTCTGAGCACTTGGGGCTCGTCTTGCCACCGATCACAGCTCCTGTACGTTGGGGACCGGATCGTAACACCTCTGTGTTAAAAAAGAGTTTCCCATCTTCTCACCCAGTGGAAAGGGAAAGGTGGGGCATTTCGGATTGACAATGGAAAGTAGGTCTTTACACAAAGAGTGCTGGGGGTGTGGAACAAGCTGCCCAAACTGCATGTGGAAAAAAAAAACGGGTTATAGATTCTGATGCCGACACTTTGGAGAAAAACAGCAGCAGGAGATGTTCAAATCAATTGGCTCCGACCAGCCATTTTCTAACCCAGGGTCACAGAGGAGCCAGAGCCTATCCCAGCCTATCCCAACAAGCACCAGGCACAAGGCAGGATACACTCTAGACAGGACACCAACCCATCAGGTTCAGACATTTGGTGCCTGTGCTTGGCTGAGGAGCCAATGGTGCGAAGCTACCATCTGTGGGATAATGACTGAACGCCTCTAAGTCAGAATCCCGCCTAAACACTCCTCAGCCAAGCATCACAGGACACACACACAGAAACAGACACAATCCCCGTTTTCCCAGAAACCAATTCACCGACCAGTATGTTTTGGGCTGTGGGGGGAAACTGGAGCACCTGGAGGAAACTCACATGAGCACAGGGAGAACATACAGACTCCACACAGACAGCACCCCAGGAATCAAACCCATGGCCCCAGTGCTGTGAGGCTGTGAGGCAGCGATACACTCACCAGAGTGCCACCGTCCTGCTCAAATCAGAATAGCTGTTATGTAGAACATCCTCAGGGGGGCGCTGTAGGCCAAAAGCAATATCCATGGAAAGCCCTACCTTTGCAAGCGTCCACATTGTTTCCATTAGCGCAGAGCTTCTCGGCTGTGAAGGGCACATCTGGCAGGATTGTCCCACACTTTTCCCGGCTCTGGGAGAGGAAGCAGGCAGAGGAATTATTTCCTCGGACAGCTGCTTCCTGGCGTTTGTTACCAAGCCACCAAGATGACACACTTTTAGGAAGTGTGACAGTTTTTTTGGGGGGGTTTTCAAGTCAGTCCTGGCCGAGACAAGTCTTTCACCTGTCTTGTCTGTCAACCTGCTTTCAAAACCTGCAGGAATAAAGTCTCCTGCTCTGGAGCCTGGGGTCATTTCCAAACTCTCGGCACTGCCATTGACCTCTAACAAACTCACTTCACCAGCAAACCCAAAAGGCAGTGCTGGCCACAAACTTTTAGAAGATGAGAAACAAACTAGTTGTTGACAACTCATGAATTAGACAACCGTTAGTCCCCCTTTGCTATAACCAGGCACAGGAAAGCACAAAGTCCCGCAGACAGGGCAAAGTGGGTAGAGGTCTCTCAGCCTCGGTCCAGGATAGCTCTGTATCCCCAGCCCTCCTTGTGTCGCAAAAGATCCTTTCACAGATCTCTGCAGCATGGTGTCAGAGGCAGGCAGATTGCATCCAAAACCCAACACTTTTCATGTCTCATACACACACTTTCATGTGTTTAATGCACTTTGGCAAGATAACAACCTGTCTCATCAAGCTCTGAGTATTCCTACTGCATGTGATCTTCTTGGATTAGGACATCCACCCATTTTCCCACCTCTTTATCCAGCACAGGGTCACGGGGAGCTGGAGTCTATCCCAGGAAGCAACAAGAACAAGGCAGAGTACACCCTGGACACCAGTCCATACACAGACACACACTGTCACACACCCTGAACTGGACACCAGTCCATCACAGGACACACACAGACTCACACACCCTGGACTGGACACCAGTCCATCACAGGACACACACTCTCACACACTCTGGACATCAGTCCATCACAGGACACACACAGACACACACTCTCACACACCCTGGACAGGACACCAGTCCATCACAGGACACACACAGACACACAC